CCCCCCCCCCCCCCCCCCCCCCCCAAAAAAAAAAAAAAAACGGTTTAGGGTTTAGGGTTTAGGGTTTAGGGTTTAGGGGTAAGCCCTCAACCCTAGACACGAATCCGAAACCTTAAACCAGAACCCAGACCCCAGACCCCTGAACCCGAAACCTCACACCTTCAACCCTTTGAACCCAAACTCTAAACCCTAAACCCTCTGAGCCCAAAGCTCTCGTGAGGACTTGCCGGTTGGCCCTCCCACGTGTTACTTGGTCAATTTCAATGGTTTCCTTTTAGGGTTTAGGGGGGTTTAGGGTTTAGGGTTTGGGGTTTTGCCTTGGGAGTGTCAGGGTAAGGTTAGAATTTAGGGTTTAGGATTTTGCCTTGGGAGTGTCGGGGTAAGTTTAGAATTTAGGGTTTAGGATTTTGCCTTGGGAGTGTCGGGGTAAGTTTGGAATTTAGGGTTTTGGATTCTGGGTTTAGGGTATCAGTCCTTTACTGTGTGTTTTGGGGGTTGCCCTAACCAAAGGGAGCCCTACAACAAGATAATCCTTCTTGCTGTTCTTCCTACGAGGGGCGCTGAACCTGCAACCCGAAACCCTAAACTACTGAAACTAAACCCAAACCCATCCTTGTAGTAACCCTTGTAGAAACCTTACAGGAACCTTAGAAACAAGAGCCGAAGCCGGGACCCAGGTTACAGCTCTCGCAGGGCAAACTCCTGCGCTTCGAGCCCTTTTCGGCCGAGGGAGGCCTCCTGAAAAGAGGGGTCTGAACAGGGTTTAGGGTTAGGGGTTTAGGGTTTAGGGCTAGGGATTTAGGGATTTAGGGGTTTATGGGGTGGGATTTGGGTTTAGGGGTTTATGGGGTGGGAGTTTACAGTGAGGGTTTAGGCGTCTGATTTGGGTTTAGGGGTTGGGAGTTTAGGGGTTCGGAGGTCAGAGTGCATTGGGATTTGGGCTGGATAGTAGCAGTGCCCCCGATAGTTCCTGCCTGTGTTTGATATGATTTGACCCAAAGCCCTCGCCACCCCGAGCCCCTCCGCTTCCACGTAGCCGACGGGTAATCATTACACGGCACGTAGGGGTTTATGGGTACGTTGCTTGGGTCTTATATTAAGTGGTGATTTACAAAAAGTACCCGGACCCTCCCGTAACCTGAAGTTGGGGAATGATATAATGCTTACTCTACTTATCACCTCACTTGCTTAGTCCGCTGGTCCTTGTGACTGGTCGTAACTAGCACCTGAAATTGAATCCGAAAGTTCTAAGCCCATGAGCCTTGCAGGCAGCATCTTCAAGCAGATGGTGGCGTGGCTTTCGGCCACGCGGGAGGACGGAGCAAATGCCAGGGCAGTAGAGCCGATATTATGGCTAGATCCTACCCCCCAAAACCCTACATAAACCCTGACACAAGCCCCCCTAAACCTAAAGACCCTAAACCCCAATCTCAAAACCCTAAACAAACCCTGACACTGAAGCCATGAACCTCAATCCCTGAATCCTAAAGTGTGTCATGGGCCTTCTTTGGGGTCGGCCTAAGGAACCCACCTTCCACAGAACTTACAGAAGGAAAGAAACCCTAAACCCTAACCCGAAGGTTTTACAGTTTCCAGGTTGACGTTACAAGCTTGAAGGCCTTGACGACTTTGAGAGCTGTCTGAAGTGGAGTTCTGCTGGGTCGGTGAGCAGTTTATATCATTATGATTGCAGTACAACTCGGGGCCTAGGTCGTCTAGGCACCGTCCCTAACTCCAATGGTGATATCGCTTGCCAAGACCGCCGCTCGTGGCGAGCACGCGACTCGCGATACCAAACGGGCCGAGCTCCTCGCTCTCCCCCCCTCAGCGTAGCAACACTTCCGGGCCGCCATGGGCCAACAGAACCCTAAACCCTGAAACCCTAAACCCTAAACCCTGAAACCCTAAACCCTAAATCCCTAAAACCCTAAACCCTAAAACCCAAAGGAGACCAGGCAGCCGGCAGACCGGCACCGTCAAGTCCTGGGACGATCTCAGGAGAGGGCAGCCAGGCTAGATCCCCTGCTGAATGGCCCGCCTACTTGGAGGATCATGGGACTTAGCAAGTAGGGTTATATAAGTATCTTAATTGGGGTTATATACTTATAAGTATAGTTACCTTATTTATAACCCTAGTTACCAAGCCCCGTGATCCTTGAAGTATGGACGCTTGGCCCTATTTCTGCAACCGCCAACGTGTGGGGAAACAGCCACAGTTGCATGGCAGCCTGGCCGGCCACTTCACTTGCTACAACTGCAGGACCCCAGGGTTTAGGGTTTAGGGTTTAGGGTTTGTGACGAGCAGCCGTTCAAAAAGTCGCTTGCACAAGCATCGCCACTGCGACGAGTGCCATCGCACCAGCCTTGGACGACCCATAGGCCCCAAAATAGTGCCTTTTTGGGGTCCATATATAGATTCCTATAAGGTATCCCCAACAAAGAACTACTATGGGGCCTATGGGTAAGGCCGACGTGGCTGGAAGTGCGGGCCAGCGTTTCTTCTGGGTGCCGTGGGCACCGCCGGCGTGCTCCTGCAAGGTGCTGCGAGCTACAGTTTTGGTCTGGCCCACGCCTAGATGGAGGGCATTTAGGCTATATTAGAGTCTAGTTGGTCAAGATTAGTTATGGGCAGGCATTACCGGTTCGTTTGTTCTCAATGGCTCTTGTAGCATTGTTGCATCTTCTTTTTGTGTCATGACTGTTTTTCAACAGGGTCGCAGCAACGGATTTACAAGCCTGCTAGTTGTATTCAGGGTTGTCCCTAAACCCTAAACCCTAAACCCTAAGCTTCTAAAGTTTTAGGAATCGCCCCTAAATCACATCGAATCTGGGGTTCTTGGCCTACGCTGCGCTGCTTGAAAGCATTGCTTGGAGGTTCATGGGCAGTCGTAGTTGTAGTCCAGAATGTAGGATCGGGGGTTTTAGCGCTAAGTTAAGGGTTTAATTAGGTAGTTATAAGAGGGCTTCTAAGTCGGGTAACTTTATGTTTAACCCTTAACCCACGTCAAGGGACTTACAACTCCACTTATAACTACCCATGAATTTTGAAGTCGGCCCATGATAGGCGTCCAGAGCTCATGTACATCGACTGAGCCATGTTCCTGCGATCATGATGAAGACGCTCTCAAGCATGTCGTTATGGAGGCCCTATATCACCAATCCTAAACCTCACTGACTCCGAATCCGAAAGCAAAAGGCCAAACAAGTTGTGCGTGAGGACAGCCTCACTCCACTTCGGGCCCCGCCCTTTCCTCGACACATCAGCTCTGGACCCACAGCCTCTTCGATGAAATCTTGGCTGGAACACGAAGAATCCGTGAACTCGTGTTGAATTTGGCCTTGAAGGGTTTCCCATTATGCAGGTACTTTAGGGCTCGAGTGTTCTACTATATAGGTGCCTGGCCCTTGGGTTTACAGCGCTTGGAGACAAGGCGGCCTAATCTTTGCTGGAAAAGGGAGGGAGTCCGGTCATGCATGGAGCCTTGATCGTACCTTTGCAAGCCCCTCCCCGGCAGTCCTCACCGCCGAGGCTGATAGATACGGACGGAAGAAAGACTGGGGTCTTGTCAAGGAATTTAATTTAAGTTACCATAATAGGGATCTATGGTAAATAGGGTGTCTTTATCATGGTAACTGAATTTGAATCCCTTAGCAAGATCCCAGAAAAAAAGAACAATATCTCTAAAGCCGGCTTTTACCCCTCAAACTCCCGTAAATGAACAAAGTATATCAAAAGTGTTCATTATCAAATCATGGTAGCAGTCAACAACTGTTGTGTTTTTCTGCCGCGGCAAGCAACTTCATTTCAACATGGACAGACAGAACGAAAGAGCGAAAGAAAGAAGCAACCTACGACAGAAAGGCGGAAAGAACGAACGAACGGCAGAAGCGCCATAAAGAGACAGAAAGGCAGAAAGAGCGAACGAAAGCTCCCACGAGGTATCCGTGACCGGCCTCACCCTAAACGCTAAACCCTAAACCCTAAACCCTAAACCCACGAGGTATCCGTGACCGGCCTCATCTTCAGCTACGGCGCCGGCCATGCGGTGCGCCTGGAGGACTTTGCCCTTTCCAGTTCGGACAGGTGCCTCTATCAGCTTTCCTTTGCTGTTCTAGGGCTCCTAGGGCTAGGGTTTAGGGTTCAGGGTTTAGGGTTTAGGATTTAGGGGCAGGGGCCCCATAGTAGTTCCTTTTGGGATTACCTTTATAGGATTGAAAAATATGAACCCCAAAAAAGAACTGCTATGGGGCCTATGGGTAATGGAGGGGCCCTGAAAATTAGAATAGGGTTCTGTGATCTATTATACTATAGTTATAATACGGAACCCCCAAAATAGTACAATTAGGTAATTGTTTCGACCCCTATATTAGGGCTTTGGGACTTGGGGTTTAGGGTTTAGGGTTTCAGGCTTTATGGGATTGGGGCTCAAGGTTTACATATTTCAGGCTTTATGGGTTTTGGAGGGCTCTTGGGGTCCATGAGATTTGTTCAAGACTCTCTTGCCCTAAAGGCTCGAAGGTTCCAGTAGCTAAATACTTGGGACTCGGGTTTTGGATAGTAGGACTGTGTAGGGCAGAGGACTTGAAGAGGGGTTCTGTGAGGGAGGGTCCTAGAGAAGGGTTTTGCAAGGATTTCTGCGCCTTTTGATGCTTGCTTTTGCTTTCACTGATGGGTTTTGCAGTAGGTCAGTTCTTTTGAGGGGCAGTATGCAGGCTTCTGCAGGTTGCATAGGCTTAGGGAGACCTCTACATCTATTTAAGCTTACATGACATTCTGTCCGTAGTGTTCCAAGCCACTGCCGAAACTAGATAATGTAGGGGCCTCTAAGCCCTAAACCCTAAACCCTAAACCATAAACCCCTAAACCCTAAACGCTAAACCCTAAACCCTAAACCCTATACTACTAAATTTCTCGAGAGCGAGGCGGAGTGCTCGCCGAGCGGCTAGAACACCTGGCTAGCTTGTCGCCTGAGCCCGCGGCTCTCGGTTTAGGGTTTAGGGTTTAGGGTTTAGGGTTTAGGGGTTTCACTGTCTGAATTTGGCATGCATGCGGTACGCCCTCGGAGGGCTTTGCACCTTCTGAAATAATAATAGATTATTTAGTGGTTCCTCATTATAATTATGGTATAATGGGCCCCAAAACCTTATTCTAATTGCTAAGACCCCTATATCAAACCATGCCGTCTTAGTGGGTTTCAGCGGATCTGGTTTAAGACATGACCTCTTCGGGGCTTCATGGGGGAGATCCATAGGGTCTCCGTGCCGTTTATAAGGTTTAGGGTTTAGGGTTTAGGGTTTAAGGTTTGTGGGTTTTTCCTGGGCAGTATAGGGCTCCATGTTGCGATTTGGCTGTGGGGGGTATAGGTCGAAATATACAACTTCCCCCAGACCGGGTGGTATGCTTTAAAATCCCGAGCTGGCCCCTAAGTCAACCTAGATGTTGACACTTGCCCCCAAACCCAAAGGGTCCAAGTACTAGTAGAGTATATACTTTGGGGGCCCAAATACCTACTAAGTACCTACTATAATGGCACTTGGACCCTTTGGGAAATCCTTGAAGATCCTGGCCCCACGCTTTCAGTCAGGTGCGTCCTGGTCGGCTTGAACGGCAGCGGCAAGTCCAGCTTGTTGCTTGACCCAAAGGGTTTAGGGTTTAGGGTTTAGGGTTTTAGGGTTTAGGGTTTAGGCTCCATGTACCTTTATAGTAGATAGGCCTTAAAGGGGTCCCTACAGCTCTTCACTGCTACGGTGCATACGGAGGGATCCTCTACGGGGACCGTTCCAGGGTCCTACAAACCCTAAATCCTGAGCCCGAAGTCCTAAACCCTAAACCCTTAGCTCTAAACCCTAAACCCTAGGGTTTGAGGGATCCATGGACTTAATTAAACTGCACCACTGCCGACGCTAGGTTCAGTTAGCCTCAAATTTTCAGCCCCCCACTCTGCACCTGTGCCGGAACACCCATAACCCGCAGTCTTAAACCTAAACCGTAATTTCCCAAAATTCAACTCCCGGGTTCAGCCCAGGTTGGCTCTCCTGGCAGGGCGGCGCATGGCCACCGATGGAGGGGAGCCTTTGTCACGGTTTACGCCTTGGCTCAATCTTCCTACTTGGGTAGTTCTCCGGATAAGGGTCCCTTTAGGATCCTTGTTTATGAAAGTGCCGTGCTATCCCCGGGACTGAGAGGGGACCCTAATTTTGAGAACTACCCACTTAAACCCTGAACGTCTTACGCTGTAAGCAGGGAACTCGATCATCCCTTCCCCCACGCCCTAAGCCCCATCACCTGAGAATCCTTAAGCCCCAAACCCCAAAAGCTCTGAAGCACTAGCTAAACTCTATACCCTAAACCCTAAACCAACAATCCCCGAAGCACCAAAAAAGCCTCGAAACTTCAAGATCTCCTGCATTGAACGCCCTGAAAGACGCTGATATAGGGGCCTAAATAATTACCTCTACTATTCTGGAGAGTTCTTCAATATATGTATTATAGTATAATATATACCCCCCAAAATCCTATTCCAATGATTAAGGCCCCTACATTACCCTAAACCCTAAACCCTAAACCCTAAACCCTAAACCCCCTACATTAGTCTAAAGAACCCAGGGTCCCCCCATCCCTACGCCCGACATCCGAAGGCTCCGAGCACTTAAGCAGAAGGGTTTAGGGTTTAGGGTTTAGGGTTTAGGGTTTAGGGTTTAGGGTTGCCCCAGACCCCCTCAACCCCATGCGAGCCCCTACCTGCTATGCAGTTGTTGCAGGAACTTTCATGAACCCCAAACCCCAAGCCTTACACCTTAAACCCTCAATCTTGCAGCCTAGGCCCTAAACCCTACACTCCTAAACCTTATAAACCCTATCGGCCCTAAACCACTAAATCCCTACACCCTACAAAGCAACCCCAGAGCCCCGAATTTGGATTCCGGTCGATGGAGGAGTCGGTGAAGATTTTGGGCCTAAGGCCCTTCCAGGACAGCTTCCGATGTGGGTTTGAGGGTTTCGGGATTTATAGGGTTAGTAGGCTGTAGCTTCCGATGTGGGTTTAAAGGTTTCGGGATTTAGGGTTAGTAGGCTGTAGCTTCCGATGTGTGTTTAAAGGGTTTCGGCATGTAGGGTTAGTAGGCTGTTGCGGTCTAGGGTTTTGTGTTTTTCGGGTTTCGGGCTTGGGCAAGAGAACTGCCTAGAATTGCAGGACTGTGGGGGTTTTAGGTCTTTTCTGGGTTTAGGGTTCAGGATTCGACCGTTTCGGCTTTGGGGTCTTTGGCTGTCTATGGTTTAGGGCTTTAGGAATCAGCTTGTTCGGTTTTGTTTTTTAGGTTCAGGGTGTAGTGTGGTTTAGGGTTTAGGGTTTAGGGGTGTTTCAGCATACCGCGGCAGGACCATGCCAAATTGGATCGGGATGTCTCCCTACTCAGCAGTGACTGGAAGCGGCAGGCACGGCAATGCAGCACCCTAACCCGCCTGTGGAAAAGAAATGGCTGAGGGCAGGGTACACTACCAGGGTACATATCTTTGCTTTGTATGTAGCAGAACTGGCGCTACTTGGAGGATCATGGGACTTAGTAAGTAAGGTTATAGGTCCCCTAATTGGGGTTACAAGTATAGTTACCTTAGTTATAACCCTACTTGCTAAGTCCCATGATCCTTTAAACCCTNNAACCCTAAACCCCAAACCCCACTTATGCTTTGCCCACATAGCAAGATCGCGTCTAACCAGGTGGGCCAGCTTGTGTCCTCTAGTGGCCTCGGTTTCCGTGAGTTGGCGGAGACGGAGGTGAAGGACACTGGGCTTCTGAAAGCTGGTTCTTGAAGGCTTCATTGTGGAGTTTAGGGTTTCATGTATAGGGGGTTTGGGTTTAATTATGGAGTTTAGGGTTTGTAGAATTTGGGATTTGCTTTTTGTTGACTTTGGGGTTGGGTTTTGGGGTTTTAGGTTATTTTGGGTGGCTTCTTCGAATCGGGGCTTAAGGTTCAGCGGTTTGTTGAGGGGTTGTAAATTGTGGTTTAGGCTCTGGGGGTTTCCCAAATGGGTGGTTGTCAAAA